ATGTATATTTTATGTATATTTTATGTATATTTTTTAACATACTTAATATTTCAGTGCACTCAATTATGTTTCTTTTATACTTCTCAACAAAATTAAAGCATCACTTACTCTACCCTCCAAAAATAGGCAAAATTCAAGAGGGTGTAACTTTGTCAAAAATGATCATATCGAGAAAAGCATTTTACAGCTTGAAATCTCTACTTTACAAATCGATACTTTAGAAAACGGTCCTACTGATTTTTCATGGAATTACGGATAGAAAAGGAGACCCGACAAATCTCAAAATTTTTTGCGAACTTTGACAAGTTCCATAGCGCGAATTAAAAATCGCATGCAAATGCAGTTTACAGCTTTTGAAAGAGTGAATCTTTACCTTCAATTTGCTTTTTTGTTGAGCGTTGTACGATTTTTTTTCACCGAGTTATTCAACATTAAAGCAAAAATGGTTCCTTTTAGCTTTAATGTTGAATAACTCGGTGAAAAAAAATCGTACAACGCTACAAAAAAAAGCAAATTAAAGATAAAGATTCACTCTTTCGAAAGCTGTAAACTGCATTTGCATGCGAATTTTTATTCGTGCCACGGAACTTGAAGTTCATAAAAAATTTTGAGATTCGTCGGATCTCCTTTTCTATCTGTGTAATTCCATGAAAGATCAGTAGGATCGTTTTCTCACGTACCGATTTGGAAAGTAGAGATTTCAAGCTGTAAAATGCTTTTTTGAACATCTCGATACGATCATTTTTGACAAAGTTACATTCTCTTGAATTTTGCCTATTTTTGGATAGTATAGAGTAAGTGATGCTTTAATTTTGTTGAGAAGTGTATTTTCTCAAACGGCTGCGGTAAAAAAATCAAGATAGACGCAATTAGTTACTAAACAGAAGTTAATTTCTATGCACGTCCCATCGGAATGTGCTGAAGAGTCTGCGAGTATTTCAGTATCAAAGATAGCTCATCTTATGATTTTTCTTCGAAACGGCTGCGGTGAAAAAATCGGGATAGGCGCGATTAATTAATTACTAAACCAAAGTTAATTTCAATGCGCGTCCCATCCGATTGCGCTGAAGAATCTGCGAGAATTTCAGTATCAAAAATAGCTCATCTCATGATTGTTCTTCGAAACGGCTGCGGTGAAAAAATCGGGATAGGCGCTATTAATTAGTTACTAAACAAAAGTTAATTTCAATGCACGTCCCTTAGGATTGTGCTGAACAGGCTGCTAGTATTTCAGTATCGAAGAGAGCGCATCCCGTGATTTTTCTTCAAAACGGCTGTGGTGAAAATATATCGGGATAGGCGCGATTAATTGGTTACTAATCAGAAGTTAATTTCAATGCATGTCCCATCGGATTGTGCTGAAGAGGCTGCTGGTATTTCAGTATCGAAGATAGCGCATCCGGTGATTTTTTTTCGAAACGGCTGCGGTGAGAAAATCGGGGTAAGCGCGATTAATTAGTTACTAAACAGAAGTTAATTTCAATGCACGTCCCATCGGATTGTGCTGAACAGGCTGCTAGTATTTCAGTATTAAAGATAGCGTATCCCATGACTTTTTTTTCGAAACGGCTGCGGTGAAAAAATCAATATAGGCGATTATATATGATATATATATTATATATGAGCGTTAAATTATTCATGTATTATTGTATTTATATGTCATTCAGATATGTCGTTGTTGCGTCGAAATTTGTCAGATGTACATATCTAGATTTATATATCAATTTACAAAAAAAAACGAATAAATGTAATATTGCATCTATTGTCTTAAAATAGATTTGAATAAATTAATGTAATAATGATGTTTAACTTTTTATTTTTGATAATTATCGACAGGAAAACTCGTTGAAATATTTACCAATAATTATCGACATTGGCATTATCGTGCGTTATTTAAAAAGCACGAAATTTGAATTATAAATTTATTTTTGCGATCTTCTGTAACCCTTTTCCAGTGTTCTTTTGACAATTTTTCGAAAATTTCCAAAAACCTGTATTCCAACATTTGCTTAACTTATTTAACGCTGTAACGTATCTAATTATCTTAATAAGATATTAATTATATATGTAGATATTTTAATATTATTTGGAATAGGGGGGAGAGAGAAACGTATATTGCATGTGTGTGTGTGTGTGTGTTTTACAATTATATTTTCTTTATTAAATAATTTTAAAATATATATCTCTTTTTAGAACTTCGTAAAATTATATATACATATATATGTATATGTATATGTATACGTAAATGTGTAGATAACTTTTATTTGTTTATTAATATTTCAAAGGATAATTGTATCTTTTGATAATGCATAAACTCAATTGCATTATAAAAAATAAATATATTTATCTATTACTTGTGACTTACATACAATCTCATTAATAAACTGTTAATTTATTATTGATCCTTGAAATATATCTACGCAGTAAGATTGGATCAGTAAATAAATAGATGTACAACGTTATCTGGTCTTTTTAATGCTACAAAATATAAATAATAACAGGGAGTACAAAAATATTAATCAAAATGTCGTGATGCATGTCAAAATTCTCCGCACTGAATCTCTTCGTTATCGTATAATACTTCACGCTCTAATAAATTTGACGAATTGATATCGCGGACATGATTTTATTAGCTAGATTCCAAATTTAGTCTGAAAAGAAATCCTGAATCAAGGACAATGAGTGTATATTACATATTTATACACAACAAGCTATAATACAGTATATAAAAAGTGCGCAGTATGTAGGCAGTAGAATATGCGCAACAGTACTGGCCAGCGCGTCTCTGTCGACAAGATACGATTAAAGTACCGACCTAGAAGTGCTGACCTGGAAGGTTTAGTGACTGTCAAAATTTGAACAATTAGTTAAACTTAATATATTAATAATTTATTATTTTTCACAATTTTATATCATTTCACGTTTTATTTAGATATATTTCGTAGATGTGTGCAAACACATGCGATAATATTCAGTTTTTTATTTAAAACTGCACTTCGCTGTTTGATTGTCCAAACAGAACAAACGCTAATTATAACCACGAAAAAAATGTAGTTTCGCATAGATATTATGATGTTGTTATGTCATAAATATATATACTTATTTATGAAAAATAATAAATCATGAACTCAATATCCCGTTAGGCTAATTGTTCAAATATTTATATCAGACGGATAATATTAACAATAAATACCTGTAAGAAAATAATATTAATAATATAATTTATACTAATTATTCCCGGTGAAATTCACCGCAAACAATCAATCGCAAAACTAATCCGTTTACTCTGGCAGTCTTTAACAGTATCTTGTCGATAGTATCACGAAAGCGAAAAACGTGTCGTTGTAACTAGCATACAACGTGATAATATTTGTTCCTAACAGAGCACAGTTTCACTGTAATTTCGCTTCCTCCTTCACTTTCCAGCGAATTAATTCCATACAGGCAACGGCATCTTCTTTACTGTCATGACCACCAACTGGAATACAAATTAGTATTGGATGTTATTTTAATTATTATTAAATGTCAGTTATAAATACATCTTACTATAATCTTCTGCTCTTATACGAAAAGAGTAAAAACTCACCATCATTTTGTATGAGCTTTCTGAGATATTCCGAACTGAGATTTTTCAGTGCCCTTTTTTGCGGATATCCATTTTTATGCGGAAACATGACGCTGGTATCCACGACGGTATCGTGGAGTAGCCTTAAAGCTTTAAAATCACTTTCAAGACTGTGACCCACCAATATCGTTTTATCCGAGAACATTGTGAGGAGCGTAGCTTGTACATCTAAAATATTCGTCGTCACATCTTTCATGTCGTCTTCCGTGATCCCCGAAAACCTATCGTAGCACAGAAAATTACTATAGTATACATAAAAATCAAAATTTCGACTTATTCTAAATGTACGCGGTTAAATCACAGTTTTGGATCTCTTATAATTCTCACAATTTACCTCGTATTATAATCAATTATTGGATTCTGCGGCTTGACTAATGTTTCGTATATCACCTTACACTCTTCGTCGATAATCGTCACTCTGGTTAGTTCTAAGCCTTGGGTAGTATAGCACATTTCGCAATCTAGTGCATAAACACCTTGCTCGTCCATAGGAACATCTTTACGTACGGAAAAAAGAAGTTAATTCTGATATCTTTGAACACATGTGGTAAGAATGCGAGAATCTGAAAATATCTTACCTTTCGATAAAGTTTTAACGTAACCGCGAAGATTCTCGTAATCCGTGTAGTCCCATACGTGTGTCTTTGCGTCGCAGCAACCAGTAGCGGAGCCGTATTGCTGGCAACAGCTATACTTGCCCTCGCCTCTAATTGTAAATTTCCTGCCCCAATGATATATACAATTTTGTTGCCGTACAGCCAAGCACTGTTTATCTATCATATACGCTTGGCCGCACCGGCTGCATATTCTCTCGTTAGGCACTTTTGATAAAACGCTTTGGTTCCGCGAATTCGTTACATACACCTTCGCTCGTCCCTGCAACTCGTAAGACGTATTTTATTGATATTAAAGATAAAATACTGAGTCATTTCGATTAAAAAGCGGAAGTCTCAACTCAATTTTATATTTATTATCGTCTATCTTATCTTATCCTCACTTCATCTCCAATGAGCCGAATGTACACTAATTTTTTTTTTTCATTTATATATTTTATTACATCTATTGTTTTCTTACCTTCGGACCGTCTGGATGTTTACGTGGAAATCCATTGTCTCTAAGCTGCTGCTCCGTCATGATCCATTTCTTGAGCATGTTGTAGAGCGCTGATCCTTTAAAATCCGTCACGCTCTTCTTGCTTTTGACCACGCTCCAAGAGCCTTTCGACTTGCCGGCGAGAACCGCTTCGTGGGACATCATACCGTAGCCCGAACCAACGGACTTCTCATTCGACTGGCTTTGATCTATCTCCTTCCTCAATCTATGAGCCGCCAGCATGCATGAGTTCTTGTACACCGCGAGCGCCTTGCACCTCTCGTGACACGCGTGTTCCTCTTTGACGGCTCGTTGCGCCGCGTCGTCGCCATTCGTGTAAATTTGCACGCATATATCGTGCATCATATTAATATAATACTGACGAACATTTAAGGGAAACTTCTGGGTGGCGACCTGCAGCGGTTCTGGACGCACAAGTTGAGGCACCTGCGTAAATAGAATTTTATTGTATACATATTGTATCCAGATTCGATATATAGACAGGGCACGTACGACTAGACTGCACCGAGAAGTACATTTAATAAGCTTTGCAATTAGAACTTACCACTTGCGGTATATGAGCGACGCGCACACCGCCCTTCGTAGTTTGCGCTATTGTTTTGTTGTCTATCGCCTTAGCGTCCCCGCTCGTCGCCGCTGTCACCGCGACCTTTCTCTTTTCCATCGCCAGAGATTTTGCGTATGGGACATGAGCGATTCGAATGCGACCTGTAACACATTAATTTTGAATTAAAACACCAAACGATTTATATTATTCGCGATTCGACATTAGAAAATTGACGGATTAGAATATAGACGGACAGATTAATCGAATTCGACATCCTTCGCTGGGTGCTGGATAGCCCATTTCAAAAGTCGCCTATCAAATAAAAAGATCTGGGTTCGATTCTCATTCCGATCGACGTTACGTACATATGGAAAGATGTTGTTCTACTGATAAAAGTTACTTGATGTGAAGTCGTTAAACACAAACATTTAATATTTGAAAAATCATGCTTTTGTCTGTTTTTGACCTCCAATTGGAGCAGCTCCTGTTTATGATTGCATCAAAATCTTTAAATTTGACCAGACTGTCAACGTTAAAGCATTCTGATTCCTAGGATTTTTAAAGGAACTTTCAGGCAAAATATTTATTTCCTTTTTGATAAAATTAAAAGGCTCGGAGTCAAATTACTACGAATCAGTCCATTCATATTGGTAATTATATAGAATTATATACTAGGATAACGCGTGGGAGAATGATCGACTCGTAATCGGCAAATCCAAATTCGATCTCAATTTTCATCTTGTATATGTCACAGTATTATTAGTAAATTCAAAGTAATTATATATATCTATTTTTTTTTACCGAGTTGAAGACTGTGAGTGAAAGAATTATGAAGTGAAATAGTAACTCAGAAATTCGTGTTTCAATTGTAAAGCTACACTATACGATCGATGGATTACGAACCAATCAAATTTGGCACTAGTTTTTGAGATATTCGATCAAAAATAATAATTTTTCATGTGAACTTGCCATTCGTATTCGGCAGCACGTCACTATTACTTATCGATGAGATAGGCTCAACATGTTCTTTGTGCAGTGAAACACGTTGTGTGAACGTTTGTGTAACGCTACACGGAGACTGATCTGTTGACGTAGACGTAACTTGAGTCTTCGTATCAGCTGCTGCCTTCTCTGCCGCCCTTTCCGCGGCTTTTTCAGTCGCCGCCTGTCTCATCAAACGCCATCGCTCGTACATTTTCTGTTGCGGAGTTATAAGCTTTTTTGGTGGCTGACTAGGACCCAGCTGTCTAGTGACACTTGTTGCCGCCGAAGGATGCGCAACTCTTTTCCTACCGACTTCTTCCACGTTCTCAGTTTCCACCTCTTTCAAAGACTTTTTGATCGATACTAATTTCGGATAGTCCGAGGCTTGATATTCCTGAGAAATAAACATATGCAACATAAACTGACGGCGCGTCAAATAAATGTAAAAATTGTTACTTTTATTAAATAAATTTTCATGTTTCGTCAGGCAAATTAAGGAAATTTTAAATATCTCTAAGATATTTCAATTAAAATGCAAGAATAAAATAGCAGAGATAGCGGCAAAAAAGAAACATAAATTACACGTTGAATAGACGCCTAAAGAAAAAAAACTGCTTATGATTATATTCATATATACAAAGATTACTTACCTGAAAAATTCTCAAGCACTCTTCTTGTACATCGTGATCAGAATCTGATAGTTCCAAAATCTCATCGTCAATGAAAGAATGAACACTATCGGCAGAACTGTCAGATCTATTAGATGAATTCCTTTCGCTACTACTTTCTTTATGCTTGTTAGATTTTCTGGAAGAGTCGCTGGATCTCCGACTTGATTCCGAGCGATGTTTCCTATCACTTCTGCTCGACGTGTGCCTGCTCGATTTGGAACTGGATGAATTCGAACTCGATTTATGCTTGTCGCGCCGGCTGGACTTGTGATGATCGTTCCGTTCTTTCTTCGGCGAGACGTGTGAATGCCTGCGCGAATCCGAGCGCTCTCCACTCCCACGCGAAGAGTCTTTACTGTCGCGGCTGCTCCTTCTCTTGTCCTTGTCTCTACTAGACGAGGAGCGGTGCTTATCTCTGGAATCTGACTTATGCTTAGATCTTTCTTTGTCCCTCTTCTCTGAACTATGACGATCTCTCTTATCGCCTTCCTTATTTTTATTATGACTCCTATGTTTCTCTTTTTCCTTATCAGCATCCTGCCGCACAGTGGAGTCCTCTCTTCTCTCCGACAAACTTCTCGAGTCACCTGCCTTATGCTGTTTAGATCTATCGCTTTTTATATCACCCGTTTTTGCGTCGCAATGATTGCTATGTATTTTATTATCCTTATTGCTCGTTTGTTTATCCGCAATATCTATCCCTGCGTGTTGCAAGTTCTCCTTCTCCTTCTCGTTCACATCCTCCGTTTGTTCGGACCTCTTTGCGTTATGCTCGTCCGTAGATATGTCTTCCACAGGCTCGTCGTCGGAGAACCTGGGTTCAATGTCCAAGGAATAATCCTGAGAGTCCTCGCTGGCCGACGCTTTCGCCTGGCCCAGCGCCACAGAAGTGGCATGATTCGAAGTAATGATCTCGTCTATCATATCGAAATCGGATTCGAACCGATTCAAAGTTGCGTCGTTCAACTGCTGAACCGTCTTCAGTGGCGCTTTGATCTTCTTAGGAACATACTCCTCCCTTCTCTTCTTAGATTTTGGGCAGTACACCTCCTTAAATTTCGACTGATAGTCGTTCGAGTTACCGTCCTCGTACGAATTCGACGAGGACGTGTCCGATTTGACCGTCGGCACATAACCCTGCACGACATCCTGATCGGTCGCTGTGTTCACTATCGCGGTGGGCTTGTATGTAACTTCAGGCGTGACCTGAGAACCGCTCGACTCCTGAACGACGCTCAACCACGGCTTAGCCGTTTCCGGGGAGAATTTACGTTTCACAGCCACTCTGGTCTCCCTGGTCGGCATGTACGAGACCACGGGTATATGACGCTTCTTCAGTTCCGCTATCGGCGTCGGATTGTAGACACAGGCGGACACCGGTTTCGTGATGGGTGTGGGAATTGCGACATGCTTTCCTATGATCGGCGCGGCGTTGCGTATAGAGGCGGCGGTGCCGGACGACAGGGTCGGCTTGAGCCCTTCCACCACTTGAGAGACGATGTTCTGCGAAACCTTCTCCGTGTCGGTAACTTCCTGATCCGCGAGTACCTTCTTCACAGCTTCCGTCACTAGATGTTGCAACATGTCGGGCGCCGAGGCCACGACATCGGTAGGTTTGTCCTCCTGCGTTTGCCCCGCCGTCTGGGCCTCCACCACCCCGGCCACTCCTGCTGTACTTCCTGCATCTTCTGTGTGAAAAAAAATATCTCATGAAACTTTTATCCACAAGCAATTGGCCGCTATTTAATAAATCAACTCGCAACTAATTTCTTAAATCCTTAATTAAACAAACCTCCTACACATTTAATGAATTATTCTGAGGTTTTTTTAAACATCTAAGGTCAGACTATCAATTCACAAGTATATTACATTTAACCTTCAAATTGGATGTGTAGGAAACAATAAATAACTATAAAAATATGATACTGAACTATTGTCACTCAGAGACATTAAACTATTTTTACTAGTTTAATCTTCAATGTTAATAGTTCAGCAAAAAGAAAGTGTTATATTATTCATTTGGTTCCTCCATAGTCTGTTTTTTTTTTAAGCTATTCACAGTCCATTCTTCAAGATCATCCAAGACCAAGTAATAAGAGATTAATACAGCTTAGTGATTCATGACATTTTAAGACTGTTATTTACGACGGTCTTAAATATAACAACTGTCCATTGAATACCGGCCATTGTCTTCCCCGATACAGTGGACAAAGGAGGCGAACAAAGAGTCTGTTGTGAAGACAAAAATCTCGCCTAAACGACAGCAACTCTGTGCAGCGTGTACAAGAAGCACAAGACCCTGTCAACGCGCGGGGCTTTTCCTGAAGCCTCCACTCGTCGATCGGGACAGATCCTCTCGCATCGGACTACGTCGGAGGTCCGGCACGTCGGGGTCACGTGCGTCTCGAGGAAGACTCACGGCGGGATCGCGAGCACGCTCCTTACCTCGCCTGGCGTGTTTGAAGTGACAATAGGGCCGGTCACACGAGCCGCCGTCATAAAACGGGCAATTTATCGTTTTAAAGTAGCCGGTTGAGGGCAACATAATAACTGATTCATCGCTCGATTCCGCGCTTCGAGGAGGCCATTCTCCGCGTGAATCGTCGCATCCGTCGCGGTGCGGTCCACTACGCGCGCCGCATTCAATGCACCGTGCCGTACGACGATACGACGTGCGACATGCTCGGCAGGACTCGCTATTCACGCTGCTGGGCTCGCACGAGAGAAGATTTCTGCCCGCCGGTCGCCGGAAATCGAGGAGAAATCAATGCGGCGATTCCCTCTCGAAATCCGCCCGAGTCGGAGAGGTTATGATTCTGCACCGCCGTTCTTGGGTACACCAAAAGTATTAAGTAGTACCGCAGTCCGCCTGCGAGGGCGCCACCGTGTAAGCAGCTGTAGCGATCTCGTTCTACACCTCGCGCTTTTACACCTACACTTGCATTCGTTTCATAACCAACCATTTGTAATGTTGTTTGTTGACAAAAAGCAGATAAAGTCGTAGTGGAAATAAAAATGGATAAGATTAAGAACAAAAAACAGGAAATAAGTGTAAATATCTTGATCCATAAAATAATAATTACATAACTTTATTAGTGATATGAAATTATATTTTTGATCTGTAGCATTAATAACTTGATCAAATTATTATTTTCAAATAAATTTTAACCGTAACTTTATTTATATACATATAATTTACATGTAAAAAATTGCGAACTAAAAATTAGAGTTTGATATCGATATATAAATAAAGTTACGGTTAAAATTTATTTGAAAATAATAATTTGATCAAATTATTAATGCTACAGATCAAAAATATAATTTCATATCACTAATAAAGTTATGTAATTATTATTTTATAATCAGAACAAAATAGATTGAAATATAAAATTATCTGATTAATATTAATATTAATATTAATCAGATAATTTTATATTTCAATCTATTTTGTTCTGATTAGTCTGATTAATCTTTATAAAATAATAATTACATAACTTTATTAGTGATATGAAATTATATTTTTGATCTGTAGCATTAATAACTTGATGAAATTAATATTAATATTAATATTAATCAGATAATTTTATATTTCAATCTATTTTGTTCTGATTAGTCTGATTAATCTTTATTTTATTTCATGTAAATAATTTACAAGTAAAATATTAAATTTATCGTATGTTTTATATTATTACAATTATTTCCAATTTTAATCGTTCAAAGTAATTATTAAAATTATAATTATTTTAATTTAATTTAATAATGCTTTTTAAAATTTTAATCTTTAATTTAACTTTATTTTAAGTTAATTTAAACTTAATTTTTAACTAAATCAATTTTTGGTTTACGTAACTTCTATATGCGGTTAAGTAATTATTAAAATTATAACAATTTATTATAACAATTATAATTATTTTAATTTAATTAAATAATACTTTTTATTAAAGCATAAGTTAAATAAGTCTTCACTTGACTTAATCAAAAAACTTAATTAAGAAAAAACTAATTTATCCAACTCTGTGAATTATGTTTATTAATTTTTACGTAACTCTTTTAACGTAAAAAAGTTAATTTTACAGATCATTAATTTCAATGTTAACTCATAATAATTTAGAAAAAAGACCACCCAATGAGAAATGATCTTAAACTCGACGTTGAAATGCATCGACTCAAGATACCAAATATTTTTCCAATCCACAAGATATTTTATTCCATCGACAGCAGAGACAGAGAACAAAAAGTTTTACTACTCCTTGGCAATCGGTATCGGACCTCGAGCGTGTATAGGTAAGTTATAAAATATTAATTCATATAACTTGAAAATATGCCACTATTTTTTCTTATATGTATTTATTATTGTAATTTCTATTGAATTTCAGGACAGAGATTGGCCCTATTAATTGTAAAAATGATGCTAATTGCGATTTTCTCAAATTACACTTTGTCTTATGGATCAAATAAACATTCAGATGACAATAGCACTATTCACGTATTCACGTATGCGGTTGACGGTCTGTATGTACAATTTAAAAAAATTAGACATTTATTGAACTAACATAATATATGTTACTTAATCTTATTTATCCGATTTATCTCTCAAATAATGTTTAAAAAAATTAGGCGCGGGCAGAAAAATGTAAAAAACGCACAAAATATTACCCCAAGATTGTATGTTTACAAATGTGTAACAGAATATATATCTTTAAATAGTAAAATATCTTAGATTCGTTAAAACTAATTTTTTGTTACGCACATGTCTTTTTATAAATATGGATGAAAGATATACGATTTCTATATCAGGTATATCACGATTTGTGACGGATTTATACTTCTGCACGCGCTCCCAGATTATGAAACTTAATAAAGATAAAAATTAATTTGTTCAGCCCTGTAAGATGAATTTACGTAGCTTTTAACGTAAAAAAAATTAATTTTATTGGCTATTAAAATTTTAACTTTAACTTTTAATAGTTTAGAAAAAGAAAATTAATTTATTCAATCTATATTTTCAGTATTTCAACTATTCAATATTCGATATTCAGTGAATATTTGAACGAACACTGCTAAAAAGAAACGAATTTATACATAGAATTTATATATAATATATATAGAACGTTATTTAATCAAGTTTCTTATCGTGTTAATTATTGCTTTTCGAGATAACTCAGTCGATCGAACTGAGCCGCTTATCTACAGATAAATATTAATCATTCTCATGCCGTTGATTTAATAGACCAGCATTAGTCGAGTTGTTTAAGTGATTAAGGAAAGGTGGCAGTTGTCTTCTCGGAGCAGGTGTTTATACATGTAGATACATGCTATGTATCAGAAACCTTGACGGGAGAGACGATTCAGTGTAAATGTATAAGTCGATGACGATAAACGTATAAATAGATACCACAAGATTTCAACGAGGATGGACTGCCTGATCTATTGCGTGACCGCACTGATAATATCCCTCAGCCTCTTCTATGCATACGCCAGATACAGGCTGTCCTATTGGAGTAGACGCGGGGTGAAAAGCCCCCCAACGCATCTGCTCTTCGGCAATTTCAGGGAATGTATTACCCTGAAGA